AAAAGCACGTGCGTGCGTGGTGTTTTCATTGAAGCGGTCGTTCACAGTTCCTTCAAATCTCTGGATTTTGTCAGCAAGTAGTTTGTGCCGTACCCTTACAAGCTTTTTGGGAATGAAATAAAATTCCTGGCCATCGAGGAAGTTGGATGACTTGGAAGCCATCATTAGCAGATACCAAAACACTCAACACGCGAATAAAACCAACGTGTTATAGTTAGCGCTGCAATGTAACGGATGATTTAAGCGATCTATTGTCCCGGGTCAATTGTAGCTTAAACAGTTAATAAATTAATAAACAGCATTGAAATGCGAGAACCATCTACCCTTTACTATTAGCCGCAATCTGCCGTATCGCGTGGGTAAATGACGTCAGTTCTGTTATCACAACTTTATCGACCAACAACGACATGCAAGAGCTTGTAAGTTTATTTCAATGTTTTTATTATTGTTAAAATTATCTCATTTGCAGCCAAGTTACGTTAAACTTGTGGTTAAGAAATGTCTAGAGAAACAGAATTAGATACGGAGACATAAATATTTGACAATAATTGTTGGCTGTGACTAAAAGTGGGACGGGGACGGGGACGGGGACGGGGACGTGGACATGGACGTGGGGACTGGGACGTGGAACTCGAGGACGTGGGACTCGAGGACGTGGGACTCGAGGACGTGGGACTCGAGGACGTGGGACTCGAGGACGTGGGATTCGAGGACGTGGGACTCGAGGACGTGGGACTCGGGGACGTGGGACTCGGCAAAGTAAGACTCGTTGATGTGGGACTCGGGGAAGTGGAACTCGGGGACTTGAGACTCGGGGACTTGAAAACTCTGAATACAGAATAGTTTCAACGCAGGGGGTCTTGAAACTGTTAAAAACATCGTGGGCAGCTATGGAAGACTTTTCTGGTAAGTAACTGTGTTTTCTTCTCGATCCGTGCCTTATCCTTGCTTAAAAAGAATAAGAAAAAAAACACAGTTACTTACCAGGAAGGTCCTCCATGGCTGCCCACGATGTTTAAAACCCTTTGCGTTGAAACTATTCTGTACCCAGAGTTCTCACGGTCAAACAGGCAAGCAAACATATCCGGCCGAACCATGGACGCTGGAAATCATCGGCTACTACTGACAAGCTCTCCAGCATATAGTAGCTTTCTCTAGACCACCAAGAATTATACACTACAAATTCAGCGCAAATGTCAGGTGTTGTTTGTTTCTCACGTCCCCGAATCCCCGCGCGTCTCCGAGTCCCCGCGTCCACGTCCCCGAGTCCCACGTCTCCAAGTCCTACATCTCCAAGTCCCACATCTCCAAGTCCCATGTCTCCAAGTCCCATGTCTCCAAGTCCCACAACTCCAAGTCCCACGTCTCCAAGTCCCACGTCTCCAAGTCCCACGTCTCCGAGTTCCACGTCTCCGAGTCCCACGTCACCGAGTCCCAGTTCCCACGTCCCAGTCCCCACGTCCCAGTCCCCCAGCATGATCTCGAGACCGAAATAATGATTATCGTTACTTCTTAATTAGTCCCGAAATAATGAATAGCAGCAGAGGGGCATTTTGTCCGGTAAATTTTAGTTTGATACGAGAAACCGCTGGTATGTGCCTGCGTCGGTTTCCCGCTCGAGAATCACGAAAGAAAAGAAGCAGTAAAATTCTTCGGAAAAAACAATGGTTCGAGTATTTGAGACAACCTGTCTTCTCATTTTTACTTCTGTAACGAAGATGGAAGCGGCAAATCCTTGAAATTATTGTGTAATGTGTACAAGGAAGTTATTTTCAGAATGCAAAAGATTGTTCGAGTCTTGTCTCGTGATTGTCTGGGCGATCGATGAAGATGATGTTATTTTTGAAGGATGCAAGTGGCCTGTCGAAGAGTACAAAAGAATTGGATGGTATACTTTTATCGTGTCATTGCTATCTCAAGTGATCGGTGATCATTTGAAGTACTCGCCTTTCTGTAAGCGTTTCTT